CGCACTTTGCCTACAGTGTGCACAATGAAGTAACAACTCAAAATGGTGATTTTAAAAAGCAACATTTTTTCCGGAGTCGTTTACGTCTCCCGAACCTGCATCAGTTTCCTATAGTCCCTTTACTTCAATTTCAATTCAATATCATGTTTATTTCCATAGTTCTATTTAAAAAAATACAACAGCATAGCCCTTCAACATTAGGACAACAGTAATTAAATACATGACTTGAAATGTCAAATTGTATTAAAAATCAACAAACGTAGGCTACGCAGAAAATTACGTGATATGTAATAATCACCGGGTGTTTGTCCCCTCCGTGGACATGGCCGTGGTAACGGTACATTAATAACCTTTGATGCCAGCTTCTGTGTGCCAAGCAGCACTGAACACCCACCCTCATCAACTCTCCAACTGATGAAGCTCCTTCCCGATATTGCCTAGGTAACCACGTGAAATCATATCCATTCAAATACCGTAGATAACTACTTCAATTTGGTGGAGCCACTGTATACCGGTTGCAACCATCCATCACACTAAGTGGCAAGAGCTGGGTGGCAAGGACAACGGGACCACATATTGGAGATATTAACGGCTGATATATATTCTTAAGCCCATGTGTAATAAAGCAGCTAAGTACCAGTTCTCTATAGTGTGTATTTTCAACGATGAAGCCAAATAATTTATCTTTTACAGAACATGGTTGACCAGTTTACCAAGTTCAGTCTGTTATTTAAAAAAAAAAATTATGCAAGACATTTTCAGTCCACTATACACAAGGTGATACAGTCTGGGGTATACTTCGATGAAAATAAAAAAAAAAAAAACGAGGAAAATAATATTTGGCAGATTTCCGGAAAAACACAGAGTCTATCCAAAGCATATGTGTGTAGGCCATTTGCCTGCGAGGGTACTGCGAGAAACTGCCCATGGCATGTATGCAGATAGTTCATATAAATTTAGTAATTCTTTTTTACGCTTTATTAAAGTCCACAAAATCTCAGCCTTGTATAAATACAAATGAACATTTTCTGCCATGAACAGCACACCAAAGTTGAATATAAAAATATTAATTATTCAAATGGTTGTTGATTAATTATCGGCTTGCCCAAGATTGTTCAAAATATCACCCACATACAACTTGACGAAAATTCTTCCCAAAAGCTTGCAAAGTTTTCCTTCGAAACAACCTTCGAATGAGCTGTCATATTTATGATCTGGTAAAATCGCACTATCGAAGACTTTTTCATGGTTTTGTTTTTACAGTTTGGTTGAGAGTCATGCTCGTTTTCGTATTTATCACGTGCGAAATTGGAATATGAGCAACAAATCACAGATATTTGACGCATAACCTACCAGGAAAATGCCTAAATTAAGACTAAACCTGTTCCCGCAGGGAAGAACACTGGAAAACATTCCGTTGACATTTCCCTTCACTCATGGATCAGTTGATATTGACATGACGCATATCCAAACATTAATGTCACGAGTGAAGGCCTGATAACAACAAACTCTGAACCACTGCAGCCTAAACGATCCTCGTGTCCATCTTAGCGAGACAGGGACAGACACTTAAGGCGCGACAAAATGCCGCCAAAACGCATTTCCATGGAAAGGACTAAGCAAGTATACACAAAATATGATATTGTTTTTCTTCAGAATTTTAAATGTCAGGGTTCACGCACGGACTTTAAAAATGAAAACAGAATGCCCCCAAAAACATATCGCATACATTTTCGTGCTCTTTTAGAGTAGACAAGGTTTTTCACTGTTTTTCGTTAATGTTGCTTTAAGCGACTCAATTAAATGTTATATCCATGCACGCTTTTCTTCGAGTGTACTTTTATCTTGTGGTTGTGGAAAATACCCCCCCCCAAAAAAAAAAAAATTATCTGTGAAATTTTACCTCAAAATGCTGCATTGTTATGCAATCAAATGTTTAAGCATGAAAAATAAATAAATAAACCATAATAATTGTAACCATAATTTAACCATAATTCAACCTTTTCTTTTTAGCTCTACGATACAAGTGATATATTTCGGCTCTGCAAAAACATATTTTGCTCCGCTATACACAATAATTTAGCGAATGTGGCCTAGTTTTCTTGAATGACATATTCGAAAATATTGGTTTACCATTACCCATCACAATTCTATCCAATGACTGAAATCCAGGAGATAAAGAGATTTGGATGAATTTCTTCCAGGATCGAATGTAGCGATAAATTGAAGCGATAATGGCCTGTATACAAATCCTTCCATTGCGGTCGGAAAGAATTGAGGATCTGAAGCAGACCAACCGGTAGGGATTTGAGCCGTTTTTTCCGTAATCGAATTAAGGACGAAGGCGGTTCCGAGTGCGCGCCCCCTCAAGTCCCGGGAGCCTCGGGCGAGTTTACCGGGAGTGAAAGGTGAGCGGGGCGGTCCGACCGAACTTTATTTTTAGTGTCTCTTTCAATCCATGCTACTTCGCCCCGTGTACCAAGACGCACCACAAAATTCACCAATCGTCGTATCTTCTCAGTGCTTCTAGATATTGCGTGTTATATTGAGCACTTCAAAACTCCTCAGAGAATGGCACTGACTTTATCGCGACAGGTTGTTAAGGCTACTGTTCGCAATAAATTTTAGACATCAACTATTCCCGAGTCAATTTGATTTAGTCTCACTTACTTTCATTGTGCTAGCAAAATGGTCAGTTAAATAAATTTGATAGTTTTGAAAAATGGTATCTGATGCTACATAGCCGCGACTACTATCAGTGGATTTTCTTTTGCATCATCTACCTCAGACACTGTGGGTATAATGCCCAAGTAACGACTTTTTTTCTGGACACCATTTTCTACCTACATAATTCTCATTCTCCGCCCATTCTAAGATTAACCAGTGACAATGTATTGCAGGAAAACATCCCCTGCGATAACCACTGCTGGCTGTGCTTTGTTTTCCATGCCTTAATAATACACCATTTAAAAAAAAAAACATTATGTGCCAACTACCATGTGAAAACCATTGGAAGCTATATGTTCAATATGGATTACACCTGGCTGTGCCAGTGTGCAAAATACACCCGCCGAAGTTCAAACAACTGCAGCACTATTTAAAGTCTCCGTGTATAATAGGGGCTTACCTCGATATTCTATTCGTAAACCTGGTTAACATATTCTCTTCACACTGCACCAGGCGTGCCTCGAATAATTGCAAAAGAACATTAACAGATAGGATCGTTTATATCACGAACATGCAGTGATGTTGAGACTGCATCCTGGTATGTTGGTCACAAAGCCATATTTTTGACATTATGATAATTTTCAAGGTGTTTACTGAGGGCAGATGTTTTTACAATCGCTCCGTTTTATTATCTGCTTTAATTGCTTCAATTCAACAACACCTTTTCCGTGCACGCGCATTGGACTTGCAAAAAGACTTTATAATTGGAAATGGCGGCACGCATGCAAAACAGATACCTAGCATAGCATTGATATGATAAGTCTGGGTTCCACCTGAAAAGACGCATTATTGTAATGAAATTGTGCAGGCTTGATCTTGTTATGATCTAGCGGCCAGAGTGCAAAGCGACTGTCACTTTATGTTGATTCGTCATCATAATCAGACACCGCGTTGCAAATTAGGCGAGTGAAACACATCCCGTTCATCTTTTTATTTATTTAGTTTTTTTTGTTCGATCAAATGAAAGAAAAATTAATTTAGAAGAATAGGTTAAGAGATCACGTTCATTAAGCACGACTGAAACAGTATCAATTCGTCCGCGTTTACTTTTTCTTTTTACCTTTAACAAATTGTTTGTTCGGTAGGCATGTGGAGCTATCTTTAATGTTGTTAGGGGAATGAAAAGACCAATTAATTTACGTAAATAAAATGTTTATCTAAAAGTGAACTCAATTATGTCTGTGTTAGCAGTGTTCATGCTTCCCCTGACATTTCTTAAAGACGCTGAACAAGAGGGGATGTTTTTATTGACATTGTTTCTCCTCAGGTAGGTTGATGTTGGACTTTGAACGTCAATGTTTAGGGGGGATAATGTTCATGCAATCGAAAATTGCCCAAGAAGCATTAATCCCCGAATGACATTTTGCATCAGCGGGCCACCAACACACATAAAAGGAAACATCTGTATATGAGAACAGTGGTAATGATTACATGCGCAATTGCCATGCACACAATTCGCGGTGGAGTTGCAAATCCTATATGATTCCCCATAGACTTCTGGAAAGCGCATAATTCCATCGTTAGTCTGGAACGCGTAGTTCGGGATTGGATGAATCCAATACATTAACATTCATTAATATCCCTAATTTGTACTGGCATGTTTCAATTCCCAGGTGAGGGCCAACTGTATGGTTTAAATTAGTTGAGTGTTTGGGTCAAGTAATACGTTATCAGAAGACGTGGTTTACACATGCACATTTTCATATGTAATCATTTCTCTAAACTCTTGCTAAATAGCTTATTTTTTTCACATCTCAGAGTGTTGTGGGTCAAATGTGCGATGGTCATTGATGTCATACATCGCGCCAAGGTGAAACGGGACGTTTTTTAAGGTCAATGAAAAGCTCACAGGACCAAACATCCGCCGAGCTTCGCGTCCCGAACGAGAGCGCCGTTGATGCTCATCCTATAAACATCTTGCTTAACACCTGCCGCGTATTTCCCCAATAATAAAAGGACAATCATGCTGCTTTGGCGCGAGTGAGGCCAATTTGATCGCCAAATGTGAGAGCAACAGTTCCTACAGGCGACGTGCAGGTAACTACTTGCGTTGATATCCCAAGCTACCCCCTTAGCACGTAGCTGCATTTAACGATTTCAAATCGATTTGCTGACCACGGCCTGCGTCGCGATTTCCAACTTATTAAGTGACAAAAATAACCATAACCACATTAAGATACCTTCAACGCCGCGCATTAAAACCAAATCAATGGTACTAAAATTACGCCGTATCTTTTTTTTTTACGAGAGCAATAGAATATGCACCTACCTGTTTGCTGTAGCCTGATATCCCCCGACAGTCCTTTTCTTCACGAGTGACTTACGATTCTGCTACCACAAATTGATGGTTGGATGTCGCCATTAAAAACTCCTTGAGACTGGGCACAAAAGGCGCGATTCCAATGGTGAAGTACGCACAAGGCTCCAATAGTCCACGTACATTGTTTATAGTCCGGTGAAGCGATCTGCAAACAGGAGCAGCAATAATAATATTGTTGCAATAAATGGATGAGCTATAAGCCTTAAAACAATATGTACACACAACCAAGGTCGCGCTTTACAAACTGGCAAGTATGAACACAAGTGCCTGTTGTTGGAATCGTCTAGCTGTTGAGGTTTTAATCTACAGGAAAAAAGAATCCCCGAGTAAAGCACATCCTAAGGCAGCTCCAAACCACTTCAATGTATCTCATAATTTACGTTGTTGGCTATATACCCCGCAGACACATCACGTAGTGATTTTAACAGTAGCAGCCTTGACGCCTTCTTATTCCCCAATCAGCGAATCGAGAGGGGAACAAATGCAGTCAGGAGGCTGTGTTTCCAACGACAGCATGTGGACCTGCCATATGCGGTAATAATGACTGCACTGCGGCCATAAAATGCAAACGGTCACACAGGACAAGGAATTACTCTAATATCATCTAGTAATTGCATCTCGGCGGCAGCCGTGCGATGCATTCAAATGCAGGCAGAAACTCGCACCGCGCACTGCATATTCAATCCCTCCTCTCTCGTATATAAGGACACCACACGATGCAGACACCGAATGAGAGATTTTCCCTCAGCGCACGTCAGAGTGGACGGGGCAACATCACCTTTTCTATAGCCCGTCAAGTCCCCTGCAAGGCAATACCGTGCACGCTGCTCCTATCGTGTGGCCTGTCTCTCGTCACCTACATCCAACTCACGGCAATCTACCGTATATAAAGCTCTCCGCAGATCACCATGACAACAATACTATACCACTGAAGCCGCCATCTTTGTTCCTTTTTTTTCTCCTGCAATGAAATGAGCACAGACCGCGCAGTCGTAAGTTTGCTCTCAGACACGGTATCGGTCACAGGAGAGACTGGACCTTAACAGAACGGCTTCCACTTCATTTAACTCGTCAGTGTTGGTCGACTGCACTTGCTATCTGATGATTATATCCCCGAACCAGCCGCGACACACTTGTTCATGTCTAGCTTCGTCTCTCGCGCCTTTTTTTTGTTTGTTTTTCTTCACTAATGTCTCGCTCGATATCGCCGAGTTATCATTTCACTGTAGAATCAAACCTTTCACGCTTTTCTGCTCACGGCGATCGAGCGAGCCATTACATCCCGTCCATATCAAAACAGATATCCCACAATGCCTTGCGTCATTCTTTAAGCTGTTGACTGCCTCTTACCGCGTGAATGATTTCTTTTATACACAAGATCGAAAAATGTCAAGAACATCGCTTCCACGATGGATAACAAGCAAATAAGTCTAAGAGATTAAGTGGTGTCGTCATCACCGCTGAATCGACCGATTAAGCACGGCTTAACCTTTGCAGTAAAACAACAAACCATGTTTTACATCGAGCCGTTGATCGCCTTGATACATGATATTATAAACATTTCCTCATTGCAGAGCAACCCCATTTATTTTATATCTGAGAGCAACCAAGCGACATTGATTTACGCATCGATTTTCACATAATGGATAAATACACGGTATAAAAGAGTGCTTGATATCGCATTGTCTCGTTTAAGTGCGGCAGGCATTGCTCCTAAGTATTGTTTACACAACATTAATGAAAATTATGCGATTCAAAATGTGAATAAAAATAAAAACATCACATAATGACGCATTACTTCTGTCAGCAAAATAATGTAATGGATCTAAACATTAGCAACGCAAGCCTTGACCAACTTAACAATTTAACTGCACCAGTTACGAATTTCAAACCCAGGCTTTCGGTTTCCATCTAAAGATATAACATTTATTTTGATTCAAAGGCCCGACGTAAATATACAAAATTTATTATCTATTTATTATACTCCCCTCATTCATAATGTACCACAAAGCTCATGTTAGTATTTGAAAATTGTCTCAGAGCATGTGCAGTTAGTTTCTTGAACGGAAGTTATGATCAAAAGGGATAACAAAAGCAGAATATTACAATATCGACCTAAGGGTTCAGTATTTTTTTTTATTTACCAACGAAAAAAATATATTTTTATGCAACGATTATAATCAAGAACCATATTACGACACATTCGTGTGGACATATTTCAAGGTTACATTCATCTATATAAACCAAATCTACACTGAGAATGGATAGGCAAGGAATGCATTGAAATGAACGATCATGTTAAGGTCAACATCCAACTACCTGAAAAACCAATCATGCAGATGAAGCCTGCATTTATTTGGATTGCGTGTTAAAAATGAAAATCGTTGGGAATTGTGATTCACATGTTGACTGATTGTATGTGGTACATTTTTGAAACATTCGGTCTCACTGGTATATCTTCAATATGGCATCGATTTGGTACAGAGTCACCGTGCTTTCGAGCACAATTTTCCTCTTTAATATAAATTGATCTCAGGTGTGTTGTGTGCAGACCAGGGTAATTACACATGCGTGCGATTATAATTTATTCATCGTAGAAGGCAAAGAGCGGCCCACGCCAGAGCCAATTATTGCTTAATGTTGTTTAATTCTGGGAATATAAATGGACAATTGGTTTATTTATGGCTGCAAACGAGGTCTGGAAATTAATTTTTCGCGGTAACAGAGTACTGTATCACGATGTGTAAGCAATTTGAAGAATTAAATGTTATTGTATTGTATTGGTATTTTTAAGCATGGACACGGTACATCCCGGAGTGTGGAAATGATATTTCGCTGTGTGGGCAATATCTTGGGCCATAGTTTGCACAGCAGAGCACTGTAAGCTAGGAAAAAGCGTGTTGTGCAAATAGCAGCATCGACGGACGGAGCCGGCTCTTCATAACATTCCATTTTACGATCAAATTCATTTGCAAGGCGGGAAAGATTTTTTTTCATTACACAAAAACACCGCAGCGTTCTTGATGAGATGATGGAAATGGCGGGAGGAATTGTTTTGGGTTTTTTTTTATTGAACGTCAGCGGCGCAAAACGAGTGGGCGTTCGTGATTACGCTCACATGTTTAGTTAGTGCAGTATTTTCTTTGCGTATTATAATAACAGCAAAATGCCATATTTAATAAGCCATTACAATGTCAGGAATGTAATATTGAACATAATTTCGAAGGGGAATGAAGGTCTCATAATAAAATAATAATCCATCGGTCTTGTTCCTCTCCTTCTTCTTCCTCATCCTAAAGTCCTACTAGACTTGATCATTTTAAGTTATAACAAATATTAATACTTGATCAAAGATTTTATATAATGTATCGGTCTTTGTACGTGGTGGCTTACACTGCAAAAACTGTGGTGTTAATTTAACACCATTCGGTATCTATATAGGACAACACCAGTAAGATTTAACACCAGATGGTCCTATATAGATACCAATGGTGTAAATTTAACACTGCAGTTTTTGCAGTGTAAAAATCCAACGATTTGGTCGCCGAATGTTTAATAAGGTAGTATGAGAGACAGTAACTGAAATACCAATCTTGTCACACTCGGGCCAAACGAATGACCAGAAATGTTTTTATAATCCATGGCAGCTTTCATACATGATTTTATGCTGGAATTCCAAGCACTGATAGAACGCACATAATCGGATCACACACAATGCATTTGGAGGAGTCGTTCAATGAAAAGTCAGTGCACGTGACAGAATGGAAAATAAAATTTGTATTAATTTTTATAGTGGTGTTTGAAAATGACTAGTCTGGAGTTGCTTATACTCTCCTTGCAATACTAAAGCACGGTGTATAACAGCGGCTACTGCTGTTGGAAGTCACGTTCATTTGATTTACCTGGTCAAGTGAAATCGAGATGATATAATTAGAAAAAAAACAGAAAGTAATTTAAAATTATCTGTAGGCATAAGGAATAAATAGATTGCTTTAAAGGTTGTTACTGAATGGTTTTACAATCTCGTAGTTCAACGAATCTGCCTGATATTGTGGGCAAAAAAAAAAAATTCACGAAAATCTGGCACTATTCTCTTAATGGATTATCTAAGCACATCCAAAATAAAATACACCATGAACATTATCTTCAACTTCCTGACACTTAAGGTTTGAATGGCCCATGCAATGCCAGTTTTTAATGCAAACCTTTTTAACCTTAATTCATAAATTTCTGTTTGGCCATTTTCAAGAGTATTTTGATGACTTTCTTGTTTTCATGCTAATGCAATTTAATTCATGAACAAAAGTGTGATGTCATTTCAGGCAGTAAACTCAATGTTGCGGTTATTTCAGTTATTTTCTGTGGTGAATGGTTGTTGTGTCAGTTCATGGCAGCAAGCAAATGAGCAAATCTTTCTCAAATGTTTTAATGAGCAAATTTTGGGTTCACAATTTAACCAGAAGCCCCCTATAAACTGAACAGTGTCTTCCTGAAATGATATCACAGCAATAGCGCCCTCAGTTGTCCAGAAAAGCATTGATAATTTTAAATATTTGAATCAGAACAACACTTTGCTATAAAATCAACCCCAAAAGGATGTCAAATCTATTTTATACATTTAAGAGGAGTAGCAAGTTGCACAAACTATGTTCCTTGGAACAGTTCTTTTCATGGGCCCTTTAAATTCGAAAACAACCCCCAGCTATCACATTCGGACCACCTTTCACGACAGATATCCGAGCCAACATCTGAGAAGTAGACCTTCGAGTAGAATGACGAATAGCATGTGTTGTCCTCACACGTTATCCAATGGTAGATAAACAGGGAACCAGACGACGAAGCAGCAACGTCACGTACGCGGACGAAAGAAAAATATCACAGGAGTGTCGGCGGACTTTTAGTCTGTACGTCGTCTTCTCAGTTTTCACATTATGCAGAACACTCTCTTTTAACATATTCTATGAAGTATAGTCTTAATAAGTCAGGGCTCTGACATACTGACCAGTATACATAGCGCATAATAAGCAGGTACAAACGTAAACTGGGTAAGCCGAAATACCAAGTAAGCTCTTTGGTAAGCAAGAAAATGGTTTTGTCCAAAAGTTTTGTGAAGAATATTTTGCATATCAAGAGTAACTGCCAGCA